ATGTGGCACAAGGCCGGTTTTTAACGTGGGGCTTTCCGAGTGCGTACGCTCGGGCAAAAATTCCCCGTAGACCCCGCATACACGTGGTCGGGTGGCCATCTACCTCCCCCAGAATAGACTCTGCCCGTCGACATAGCCTCATCTGTTCCTCCCCGCCCGAAGGCAGAGAGGTTGTCAAGCAGAGTATTGGCAAACTCAGAGGTTGCCGGGATTCTACATTATTATTATTATTATTATTATAACATCGAACTGGCCAGACAACAAAAAGCATAAATTAATAAAATAGTACTTTTAGAAGTTAAAATAATTTATTAAAAAATAAATAACACTGTAGCAATTATTTTCCATTATAAATTGTGTCTTAAGCATATCTGATAAATGCCAGTGGCTTATTTGAAAAATGAAGAGTTTAATATAGATTGAACTTTCTTTTATTTCAATATCAAGATTTTGATTTATTTCACAGCTTATCTTTTTATATCGTAGTCTAAAATAATACCAAAATACCTTAACAAAACGAAATTTATTTTAGCTGTTGGGTCAATAGGCATTGCAAATTAGTACCTTTCTTTCCCTAGTTCAAATTGATTGATTTTACGACATGTAATCCCTTGTTGGGTTATTTAATCAGCATTAAATTTTGTATGGGGCACCCAGTGAGGATCAAACCCACTATACAGTAGTAATGGTCGAATAAACTCGCTTTGCAAAACATAACTTCTCGCTGAGGCACCTATTTAGTTGGGGGTGATTGATTTCAAGACATGTTAATATTTATTGGGTTATTTAATGCCAAATTTTGTATGGGGCACCCAGTGAGGATCAGACTCACAAAATAGTAGTGGTCAAGAAGACCAGCCTTGCTAACGATTAAGCCATGCAGAAGCACCAGCAATTCTAATTATTATTATTTTACTTCCTTTTTTTGGTGTGTACACATTTCTTTCCGGGTCTCGTCCAGAGACCTAAGGTTAGAAATGGTATCATGCCATTTTCCACTGAGCAATTAAAACACACACACACACACACACACACACACACACACACACACACACACACACACACATATATATATATATATATATATATATATATATATATTACATAGATTAAGCCCTTCGTAAGCTGTACTCGTGAGAATAATTTTTAGTATTTCTTTAAGGCGTGGACTTCCAGGAATCCCTTCAGTGAGTCTACTGGGATCTTTTCCAACTACAACAGGGATTGTTGATGTTCCCATGTGCCACATTTTTGAGATTTCGATTTCAAGGTCCTTGTATTTTGATAGCTTTTTGAAGATCAAAGATACATTACAGTCTACAGGGACTGCTATATCAATAAGGAGGCACTTTTTTTGTTTGCGGTCTCTAATAAAAATGTCTGGGCGGCTAGTTTTGATTGTCCTGCCTGTGTATTGTGTAATCCCGTAAAATTGCAACAGGTTCTATCGCTGTAACTGGGTCTGGGTGGTGTTCATACCAATTTATTTCAGTTTCCTTCCTGTAGAAGTTGCAGATTTTCCAGTGCAGATATAGGCTCACTTTGACATGCCGGGTTTTATATTCAGTAGGTGCCAATGCCGTGCAACCTAATACAAGATGATCAATTGTTTCTGGATATTTATTACAGAATCTGCATTTAGGGCTTTTTTTTTTTTTTTTTTTTTGTTCAGTTTGTAACCATAGCTACTGTTGTTTAGTTCATGCGTAAGGTGGGGTTAAGGACAGATAAAACAGAATAGGTGACAGGGAGTCTCCTTCAAAGATTCCACGTCGGATATTCAGACGGTTGGAGATGGCAGTGCCTCTGGTGTGATTTAGGTGCATATTATTATTATTATTATTATTATTATTATTATTATTATTATTATTTCCATTGATTTTTGTGGTATACTAATTTCTTTTCGGGTCCTAACCAGAGACCTAAGAGCAAAAATAGTATCATGACATTTTCCACTGAGCATTTTTTGAAAACAGAAGTACACATTTTACATAGATAAAGCTCTTCGTACTCGTGAGTACAATTTTTTCATTTCTTTAAGGCTTGGGCTACCTTCAATAAGTCTATTGGAAACTTCTCCAATCAAAGCGAGGAAGCCAACTATGACTAAAATTTTTTTCTATAAAACTTATAGAAAACTATATAAATATATATGTCGATAGTTTGTAATACTGTAGCTGGGGGACTGGGTCGTTATTCCTGTCACTAAATTTAGCACAATCTGCGGCGTATCTTTCATGTGTAACCTCATGGTTCAAGATTCCTTGGTCACGACACTATATATAGTACTGTAGTATCAATCAGTTATTACCGTCACTGGTCCAGCGATGCCCGGACAGATTCTTTCACCCGCATTGTGTTTCAATAAGACCTGAAGAGGTCACAAAGTCAGGGTTGAAATATCACAAACCCGAGTCAGCTACGGGTTACACAAAATTAAAGTTGTTGAAATCTTGAGACTGATCGAAGTCTTGGAATAATGACGAATACAGCCAAAATACCTTAACAAAACGCAGTTTATTTTAGCTGTTGATGGCACCTCGGCGTGGTGTAATGGTTACCAAGCTTATCTCGCTAGAACAATTACGACTGAATAGTGATTTCAATCCTCACTGGGTGCCCAATACTTTCGGCCTTGTGCCACATCTAAGCTGCGTTTAGAAAATTATTGATAATTACCTGGTGTAGGGATTCGTCCCGGCGTTGGTAGTATCACAGCTTGGACCGGCTCTAACCAGGTTTGACCAGCTTGGACTAGCGGCACAAGTGAAAACACTCGGGTCCCCACGTTAAAAAATGACCTTGTATCACAACCTGACTTAGTTGTTTGGGCAAGTAAATCTCTATTTTAGCTGTTGATTAAAGAGGTGTTCCAAACTAACGACTCTCTTTCATCAATTCCAATATAGGTTTCATTGTTTCTCAAGTTTTTTAAGCAACGGCAAATGAAGATATCACGGCACACTTAGCAAAATTTTTAAAGGGTATACATTTAAATGCTGTAAAATAAAACCATAGATTAAAAAATACACTCACAAATATGAACTTACTTCAGAGTCTGTCTATATTTCTGAGATGAGGTATTATGTACAGTATTTACATTAGTCGGGCTATTGTCCTCATCTTTGTCGCCATATTTGTCACAATGTTTCGGCCGTTGTACGCTCCGACCTTCTTCAGGTGGTTGGAATTTCGAACTGAACCCTTTATTTCGATCACTGGGGTTCTAGTTCCACGTGCCATGTTTGATGGATGTCAGTTATCAGTTATCACAGTTATCCACTGTGCCATGTGTCCTCAAGGACACATGGCACAGTGGATAAAGGCGTTGGTTAGATCCAGTGACAGACCCAAAGAAGGTGAGTTCAATACCTGTTTAAGGCAGTGGAGAACTTTCAGAGGGAAAATTAGCAGGAGATAACTGATAACTGACATCCATCAAACATGGCACGTGGAACTAGAAACAGTCTACCCCAGTGATCGAAATAAAGGGTTCAGCCGAAATTCCACCCAAGAAAGCTGGAGCGTACAACGGTCGAAATCGTTGTGACAAATATGGCGACAAAGATGAGGACAATAGTCCGACTAATGTAAATAATGAACTTACTTTATTTCAATGTTTCTATTTGTTGTGACCAAGTAATTGTTTAATAAATAACAAAACAAGAGGTTGCAGATAAATAGTGTATTGAGCAGTAAATACAACAGAAGTGAGTTACACGACTTGGGAATGTGTGTCGGTTGACCAGCGTTCAGTCTATATCACTATTATATTCAGTAACCCCCCCCACACACACACACGAAAGCATATGTGGCACAACGCCGAGTTTAACGTGGGTCATCCGAGCCCGTAGGCTCGGCCAACAATGTCCGTAGAACCCGCATAAACGGGTTCGAGTCTGTCTAACTCTACGGACGAAACCTTGCCCTTCGGCACAGCCTCGTCCAGGTTCCTCTCTGTCCAAGGCAGAGAGTTCAACACGAGCTGCGAACAATTACAGCCTCGGTAGAACTGTTTATATCACCGTAATATTTAACGCCCCCGCCCCCACGTGGGTCGTATGTGGCACAAGACCGGTTTAGCGTGGGTGTTCCAAGCCCGTAGGCTCGGCCAAAAATATTCCCTTCGAACCCGTATAAACGGGTTCAGGGCCTGTCTACATGCCCGGGCGAAACTTTAACCTTCGGCAAAGCTTCGTCCGGGTTCCTTTCCGCCGAGGTGGAGAGTTTGACAGTTGAACAGTTTATATCACCGTTGCCCCCGAGGCTTACTTTCCTCCAACTTTATAATAAGTGGAAAAGTCCACAATAGCCTCATTAGATGGAAGACACCATAACACTATTCAACTATTAGTGTAGTTTATTTAGTGCGAAACCTGGTGTTCTTTCGCGATTTTTTCAGCGTTTTGTCGAATGTGTGATACGCAGATCCTCATTTCTTCTTCAGTTGGGTGTCGTCTTTCTCGCTTCTTATAATAAGAAGAATAGTGAAAATAATTATTTGAAAAAAATACTTATTCATTTATTCAAATACTAACGCTGTACCATTACTGCTTCCACACACAAACATATATATGTATACTGTAACAATTTTTCGTGGCACGCTTAAGAGGATCTCGCAACACAGTGTGACGCGGCACGGTCGTTGAGAATTATTAGGTTAACTAATTGATTTTATATGCTGGATTATTTAATGTCAAATTCTGTATGGAACATCCAATGAAGATTGAACTCCTTACTCAGTGGTAATGGTCAACCAGACGAACCATGTTAACCATTATGCCACACCTAGATGCCTGCCGTTCTAATGCTTTTTAGCGTTACGCAATAATCTGAATTGAATTGCTCATTGATGACTACGACGTCGATCATGATGATGATGATGATGATGCAACAGTAGTCGTATGAGTCCGTTTGCTCATTCTCCCTCTTTTTCAAAGGTTAGGATTATAACCTGGTACCCCGTTCGTCCATGGCTATTCCTATGATTTGCTCTTCCCATGTTTCGTCAGCATCCCGCGTGGTCTTTTCTCGGCCGGCTTCCGCGGAACATACGAAAGTGCGTCGCTCACACGTATATATGGAACGCAGCCTGACGGCTTGTCACAGTCATGCATTTATTTCGAAAAGCGCATAGCCAGTACACCATTTAACCTATGAAAAACACTGACGAATATGTAAACAAACAACATGGCATGTTGGTCGACTTAACTGAGTTTTTCGGAAAGATCTTTCTCTGAAATTATTTTACTTAACAAAATAACATCAGTCCAATGGATAGGTCTTTATGTAAAACAAAAAACTTAAATCAGAACGCTTTTTAAAGGTTTTTTTTTTATTTCAGTCTATGTACTTGTATAATTTTTGATTTATTTGGTGAGTGTCCTCCTGTATGGCAGGAAATGTCGGACAATCTCTAAAACATGAAGAAGTGACTTGAAGCAACAGAAATGTGGTTCTACAGAAAGATGCTGAGGATAACATGAAACCGAACATGTGAACAACGGTAAGGATTTAGACGAAAATGGAAACAAAAAGGATATTTATACTTAACATCAGGAAGAGGCAGTTGGAATTTTCGGAGCACGTAATGAGAAAGGAAGGCTTGGAAAACTTGATACTCACAGGATAGATTGAAGGAAAGAGAGACAGAGGAAAGTAGCGCGGAACATACTTGATGAGCTTGATTAAATGGATGGTAGAACAGTGTTTGGGAGAAATAACACAAAGATAAAACTTATTAAAAGCTACAATGGACAGGAAGATGTGGAGAGTCATGATTGTCTATATCCAGAAAGGTAACGGCCCATAAATGAAGAAGAAGATGGTTACAGAGACACGCCTTATTATATTAAGTTAAAATGTTTTCTCAAATTTACTATTCGAGTACGATTTTTTAAGAAACCTTTGTCTGATTTCTCAAAAATAATAATTAATTTTTTTTTCACGTTTAATTCCAATACAAACACAAACAAGCCTTATCTGATGCCTTTCCAAGTTCAATCGCATGAAATCGGGTCTTCTATATTTAACTATGTTTGTCTCGATAGCTGTCAACCTCCTTCAGGCTCTTCTACTTACTCAGAAAGACTGGGTCACTACTAAGCTTGTCATATGTTCGATATTATGACATATTATCAAGATTTCGGTCATAACAAGCCAACATTTTAAAATGTTAAAATTGCATCTGTCGACAAATTATCCTACAATCGCATCGGATAATTAAACTGCTCTCGGAAAACAGGATGTTCCAATGAAAGTATTCGTAAGCCAAAATAGAAGTAATTATCATATGTAATTATCATATGTGATTAGTATAATTAGTAATTATCATATGTGATTATATGATTAGTATCATATGTGATTATGTGATTATATAATATGTGATTATATGATTAGTAGTTATCATATGTGGAAAAAAAATGAGTGTTCCCAAACCCTCAACTTTCCTTTAGATTTACAATTGGCTGTTCGATAATGATTGCAAAAATTTTTAAAGCTTATGTTTTGGATGTAGGTTTATGACAGCTTGGCAGCTTTAAATGTCTAAAAAAAAAAAAAAAATCTCCCTTCTTCTCTTTAGTGTCATTCTCCTACGGAGAAAAGGACAAAAGCTTCACTTAGGTGGTTGTAGTTTCTGCAGCAAGTAGGGTTTTATGTGGTTCAGTTTCCGGACCATGTCCATCTAGTTTTAAATTCAGAACTGTCCTTATCTTAGATTAATTGCCAACCAGTCTGCATTGCTATTTAACCTATAGCTGGGAAAAAAGTGGATTCATAACTTTCCCAAAGGTATTTGTCCTGGATTTTGAACTCGGCATGTCAATTCCACTTTTGTACGCCAAAAATCACTACGCGCGTATCCACTAGAAAAATCTGATAAAAAAAAAATCTTGTAAAGCTAAGTAGTCAAGAATACTGTTGTATTTAAAGTCTTTCGCATCAACCATAGCAGACGAACATGAACCAGGCCATGATAGTAAATCTGGGGCGATTACATCCCTTGGTCAAATAAGAAGCCATTTTTATTGATTTCTTGGGACATTATTAAAAATTATGCTATTTCTTTACTGCGCCAAATGAGGATGCTCACTGCATATTTTGAGAACAATGCACGCTTATTTTGTAGCCGGATATAATTACGAATGACAAGGAAATCAAAAAAAAAATATTCGAAGACATAATATTAATTGATCAAAAGATAGAGAAGGAAACATTCAGGTTAAATGATTATTAAAAATACGATGGGCTATATATGTTTATCATTAACATTATCTACTTTTCTTTAAAAGGATCAATACAAATAAAATTTGACACTTATCTCATTGATGATATATTCATCACCTCGACTACAGAGTTTTGTAGACGAACCGTTTTGTAATCGTTCCGTCCACTCATCAGGAGTTATCAGCAATTAACTGCAGATTTTTCTCATTTTCGTTATTTTTATATTAAGTTAAAAGTTAAAATTTAATTTAAACGCTACATTAGTGTTAGGGTGATTTTTTCTTTGTGTGTGAGTGTTTGCGTATGCGTGTGGGTGCATGTATGTGTCGAATGTCGTAGTTATTTCTCCCTTTCATCATTTTCTTGTCACCTTCTACTCTGTCCCTGTTCTTTTTGTTTCTTTTTCTCTCTTTCAGTCCCGAGTGCCAAAGATAATGTAACGATGTCATTTCCAGTATCTTGTCCTTGTAATTCGTTTTCTTGGATGTTCTGGTGTTTTCTTAAATTAGGATTATTTGATAAATATAGGTATATTGTGTTATTATTATTATTACTACTACTACTACTACTACTATTATTATTATTATTATTATTATTATTATTATTATTATTATTATTATTTCCTTTGATTTCTGGTGTATACTCATATCTTTCCGTGCCCCAGCCAGAGACCTAAGTTCAGAAATGCCATCATAGTATTTTCCACTGAGCATTTTTTGAGAAAAAAAACTCCGAAGATCAAACACATTTTACGTAGATAAAGCCCTTCATAAGGTGTGGGCTGTACTTGTGAGTATATTTTTTGTATTTCTTTAAGGCATGGGCTACCAGAAATCCATTCAGTGATTTTTTTTAATCTTTTCCAATCAAACTGAGGGCTCAAACTGTCTTCATATGCCACATTTTGGAGATTTCGATTTCAAGGTCTTTGTATTTTGATAGTCTATTATTATTATTATTATTATTATTATTTGTGCATGTTATGAATCCTGCTTTACATCCTGTAGAGCCGGGTTCAAACTATGGACCTTAGGCACTATAGGAGAATTGTCATTTAATTGATAACACTTTTCTTAGTATATGGGATACTCCTAGTAGGGCGATCATCTGATCATCTTGTATGTCGATGTTACCTGGAACAATTGTCCATTCCTTTTCTCACGCGGCCTAGAGCTCCGATTGCTATTAATTCAGTTTCGATAATTTTCACGGAGGTGTTTCTCTGAGATGGTACTGCTAAGTCAATAAGCATACATTTCCTGAATTTATCTTTTATGATAATATCAGTTCTGTTGGTTTTTATTTCCCTCTCAGTTTGAATTGGCATATCCCAGAGGATAGTTACATCGTTATTTTGGGTAACTGTGTCTGGTTGGTGCTCATACCATCTCTCAGTGGTTTCGATTGTGTGCTTATTGCATATCTTCCAGTGTTGTTGTTGTTGTAATTATTATTATTATTATTAGTAGTAGTAGTAGTAGTATTTCTTGTTTAAATAATTTATTTATTTAATGCTTAAATGGCAAAGTTTGTGGAGACCCTTGTTTGAGTAGACACCCTGTTGGATATCCACAAAATAACGTTTGATAAAATATCCATTCATTCCTTAGAAGTTACGTTTCTGATACGAAAAAATGAGCAGATATGAACTTTCGAGAAGAGCTGAGCGAGAGAATGTATATTCTTTAAAAAGGTTAAGTGAACCTTGTTGGGTTCTGTGGCCGAGCCGTCTGAAACACGTCGGATCATATTGTAGTTTCTCTTACAAAGTGGGGCGCAGGTTCGAACCCTGCCATAGAGCACATCTACTTTATTAAGTCTGTCAAATGAACAGGACGGTTGACATAATTCACACAGTTTAAAAAAAAGAAAAGAAAAGCAGGACGTCTACTCAAACATTATCTACAAAATTACGATTGGAGTAGTAGGAAGTGTCTGTCTAGTCGATTACAAGGATAACTATCTCTGTACCATAGCTACGTTTCCGTTACCAGCTGCTCATTATCTCTGACAGACATAAATAGCCAACATAAACGATGCCAGATGAGTGATGATTGTGCAGTTTTTTTGAGTTCAGATGTTGCTTGCACAGCACCGCATCGACACTCTCCCTCACATCTCAGAGACAGACTGAAGTAAGATGCCCCAGTGTAGCTATGATTGCAGATGATCAGAGTGTCGCCGTCCTAGAGACATAGCTACTTACCAGGCAAGCATCTCGGTGGAGCTGGTTTAGTCACTGATCACTATACCATGAGGCAGTTAATACTGGGTTACATGGTATCAGCAACATTCGACTGAATTACCTGATCTATCTATCTATCTATCTATCTATCTATCTATCTATCTATCTATCTATCTCATCTCTCCATTATCTCAATCTCTCCATTATCTATCTATCTATCCCTATCTATCTATCTATCCATTATCTATCTATCTATCTATCCCATCTATCTATCTATCTATCTATCTATCTATCTATCTATCCCAATCTATCCATTATCTCCCATCTATCCATATCTATCTATCTATCTATCTATCTATCTATCCATCTCTCCATTATCTATCTATCTATCTCCCATTATCTATCTATCCCAATCTATCTATCCCATCTCCATCTATCTATCCCATCTATCTATCTATCTATCTATCTATCTATCTATCATCTATCTATCCCAATCTCTCCATTATCTATGTATCTATCCCAATCTCTCCTTATCTATCTATCTATCTATCTATTCATCTATCTATCTATCTATCTATCTATCTCCCAATCTCTCCATTATCTATCTATCTATCTATCTATTGTAGAGACAGAAATACGCATTTCATGATAATCTGTTATCAGAAAATCGATATAAAATATATAAAATTTTAAACTATAATATATATATAAACTATAATATAAATATAATATATATAAATATAAACTTTAAACTATAATATATATATATATAATATATATAAATATATACTTTAAACTATAATATATATATATATATATATATATATATATATATATATATATATATATTATAGTTTAAAATTTTATACATACATATATATCAAAGATTTTGTTTCTCAAAAATGAATGATTAAAAACGGTTAACCAGGTTATTTTTAGAAGATAAAGTTTATAAGGCAAGCAGTCTTTGCAATTAGAGTGCTCTATATGAATAGACTTTCTTCTTTATGTGACGTAGGCGATCATTGCTCTCTACAATTTACAGTCCTTTGTAGTTTTTAATAAATTTTTAATAAATTTTGTCTGTTTGTTATTTTCCTAAACTCTGTTCCGTCATCTATTTACTCAAGCTCATAAAGTATGTTATGCGCTGTTTTCCTCTGTCCCTCTTTCCTTCAATCTTTCCTGTGAGTATCACATTTTCCAAGTCCTCTTTCCTCAGTATTCGAATATCCTTCCCAAATATCTCACGGTTGTTGAGCAGTTCTAACAGATCTTTGAGTAAATGTTCATATACATGAGTTATTAATAACGTGAACCCTTAATTTTTATGACCATATTTTCCGGCTTACAAGACGCTCCTTTTTTCCTAAAAAAAATACCCTGAAAAATTCCTATGCGTCATCCAAGACGAATGTAAGGCAATGCCCAGGCTCAAGTAAGCTTGGACGGTTTTCTAATTGACTTAACTGATAGGGACATGGATTTGCATGTTGAGTTATTACATTATAATGTTAGCTATCTATCTAATTCAGCCTTTTATATGATGTAACCTCAGTACTTAGCTGTTATAAGTATTTCCAAGACTATAAACCTTCCTGGAGCCGAGCCACAAGCTTAAACAGGCTCTGTTTACTAGAAGCAGCGGGAGCCTTTCTGCTTTTGACTAGTATATCATTTCCATACAAACAAAATCGAAGGAGTGATTAATGTAAACAATAGATGGTGCTAGTATGTGAGGGACGCATGGTGAATGTGTTGTATGATTTTTTTTTTCCTTGGAAATTTCTTTCCAATATTAGGATGTGTCTTTCAAGCCGCAGCGTCTTGTAAGCCGGAAAATACGGTAATTACTAGCAGTCTTAATTGGCTTCGCTCTGGGTAAAATAAATAAACAGTCATTAAGAAAATACACACAATAAGAAATAATACGATTAAGTGCGTCATTGTTTTTTGATCAAGATTAAAACAATGTTGCACTTACAACGTTAGCCAGTTATGTGCCATGCGTGATACACGCTTAGGCGATCATGTATCTTTCGATACATGACTTACGAGGCAGATTTTTTTCCAGCAGTAGGTTGCCACTTCTTTCTGCGGTAGACCAGTTGCCATCCAAAGCTATAGAACCCGGCCTGTCCTGCTATTTACCCAGAGAAGAAGAGGATTCATACCTTTCCCAAAGGTATTAGCACGTAAGTGAATGTAATGCATTCGACTGGAATTCGAACTCGGCTCTCCGATTCCTCAATCCGAGCCGGTATGTATTTTTATTTTTGTGTTGTTTATTTTCATAAAATTAAGGATACCACTATTTTCTTTTCTCTTCCATATTTCATTTCCTGATGTGAAATTTATGAACATTTCTTATTTGTTTCTTACACTATTATTCTGATGGAAGCATAAATATTTTTATGCTTATTAAAAATTAAATAATAAAATTTGTTTCGTTTACGGGCATTGAGTTTATTAATGTTTTAAAAATAGTTGTTAATATTTTTAAAATATCGTAAAAAAAAATTTTTTTTTGAAAATTGAAAAATACGCAACATGTATAAATTATTAAATATGAAATACGTAAATAATTTAAGGAACAAATAGGAAACGTTTATAAATTTAACATGTTTCATTTTAATTTAAACTTCACCAGAAAATTAAATGTGGAGGAGAAAAGAAAATTGTGGGATTTTTATTTTTGTGTCGTTGGTTTTTCATAAAAATAAAAATGCCCTAATTTTCTTTTCTTCTTCATATTTTATTTTTTGATTAAACTTAAATAAAAGCGAAACATATCAAATTTGCTTAGTATCCTATTGCTCTAGTTCATATTTGTTGGGGCGCACCCACCTACTAACTAGTAATGGACTGGTCCCTCTTATATAAGTCAGCTCTAGAGCATCAGAGAGAGAGTCAGCGTTAGCAGTCCAGATAAGCTTACCCGGTACATACCGTTGGACTATAGACTTTGGATATTGTTTCGTACTAACCAACCTTCGTTCTACTAATCACTCTATTGTTAATTGCTTTTATGAATATACCAGTATTTTCCTCTACAACTGTGTTTGTCTTGATTCATACACCGACACGCGCGAAACTCACAACATCTCAACAATATTTGATCTATATTTGATACTAATTCAGAATTTATATAAATATTTTCTAAAGTATGAATATTTTTTATCATTTTAATAAATCATATATTTATTAAAAATTAAATAATAAAATTCATTTCATTTTACGTGAGTTGAGTTTATTTATATTTTAAAAATAGTTTATATTATTTTAGAAATATCTTTAAGTTGGATTTTTTTCTCAAAATTGAAAAATATAGAACAGAAATTGAGTCTGAATGAAGACACTGTAAAGGGTTCCGGAGAATAAATTCTTTTTGTGAATAATTTCTCATTAAGAATCTTTCGCATTTCAAATTAAAAAAATATATATATATATATATATATATATATATATATATATATATATATATATAGCTTCTTTAAAATTATTTTTCCCTTTTCATGACCTTCAGCGTCTGACCTAGGTCAACTTTAAATAACCTCAGACATTCCCTGGGTCATAGCATGTCTTCATGCCAAGTTGAAATGCATTCAGTAGTTTCTGAGTACATAAAAAAACGTCTTCTACCGATTTTAAAATTCTTGTTTAATAAAATATATTAAACTTATTTCAAGTTTATATAAAAAAAATATTGCAAATATAAATAAAATCAATGAATTCATTTGTGTTCAGTAGTTTCTGAGTACATAAAAAAAAACGTCTTCTACCGATTTTAAAATTCTTGTTTAATAAAATATATTAAACTTATTTCAAGTTTATATAAAAAAAAATATTGCAAATATAAATAAAATCAATGAATTCATTTGTGTTCAAATTCTAATAAAAAATTACTTTGTTGCTTTGTTAGGATAGGAAACTGAGCAGAGTCTAAGAAAGATTTGAGTTTATAAGTCACTATTGAACTTAATGAAACTTTTGACGAAAATAAATAAATATACAGTTTAAGAAATAAACGGAATGCCTACTCAAATATGGGTATTCATATAAAATAAGGTTTAAGTAATAAAATCTGTCGGATTAATGAATAAAATCCATTACTTCTTTTTTTATATATATATATATATATATATATATATATATATATATATATATATATAAAATATATTGCAAATTAAAAAAATTAATAATGTTTTTTTTTTTGAAAGTATTTATTTATTTTTATATTTCAGATCGACCTCGATCTTTCGTCAGAAGAAAGATCGAGGTCGATCTGAAATATCAAATATAAATAAATATTTTTTTTAATTTGCAACTTTTTTAGTTGTTTTTATATATACATATTAAGAAAGTATATGCGGTTTCTCATTATTCTATATATATATATATATATATATATATATATATATATATATATATATGCTATATATCTTCATTCAAACATATTTCATTGACTAATATAGACATATTATTTATTTTTTTTATAATAATCCTTTCCAGTTCTCTAATCAGTTTCTGTGTGTAAGATGTAACGTTTAAGTAATAAAATCTGTTGGATTAATAAATAAAAAATCAATTATATACATACATACATACATACACACACACACACACACACACATATATATATATATATATATATATATATATATATATATATATATATATATATATATATTGAATAAAATCGACAATCGGAAAACGGTAGTTAGTTTTGCCGACGTTAGTTAGCTTCGTCATCCGACTTTATTAAGGCGAGTGATGATAAAACAAAAGCAAAATGTTGTATAGTTACTCGAAATTCAAAAATTATAAAGAAGCTCCAGTTTTTAATTTTGTTTATCATAATGTCGATAATGTTGATAATGTTGATAATGTTGATAATGTCGGATGACGAAACGAATCGGCAAAACTTAAGTACTATTTTGCGATTGTCTATTTTATTCAATTAATCTTATCTACAAATATATTCTGATAACACACACACACACACACACACATACACATACACATACACATATTATATTATATTATATTAAGAAACTGACAACTTTAAGGGTTCATGGGATTATAATTTATTTCCTTAGGACCGGAATTTTTATACAAAAATATGGGTGACAAATTTTTCCAGGCATATGTATATATATATATATATATATATATATATATATATATATATATATATGCTGAATGGTTCACGGTACGACCAAGTAGCTCTTAAAAATATGAGGATACCTGTCCGAAGGACATGTAAAAATATATAATAATTTGCAAAAGATTATTACAATGCCAGGTCGCAAAAACAAAATTTAGGAATTAACAAAAATGAATGAGTAAAACCTTTGCAGACGACAAAGTTTAATAAGGAAAGTCAATAGTTCGCTCATTTCCTTTTTTGTTGTTTTTATCACGGCCGATGAGATCTTTGACAAGCAGCTATTAATGAATGAATAAACGTATGACAACTCGCTCTCATCCATCCGCCTGAACTCTGAAATTTTATTCGCTAATTAAATTTTGACCTGTTCAAGCTGTATATCTTTCTTGTTATATTGCCCTTTCTTACACTAATACAACTCCTCACAGTAACCCTCTACCTTGAGTGGCGCTTGGGCCTTGTATTGGTGAACATTAGTAAGGAAATTTTTTTTTTTTAATACTTCATTTCGGAAACTCTAGCGAGAAGAAAATAATCTTTACCGAAGTTGGTGACATTTCTTTTTTTCAAAATAAATCTCTGCTTATGTGTTATATTAAGAAACTGACAACTTAAAGAGTTCATGGGATCATGGAAGTAGTAAGTTCAATTAAATACAAGTATTGGACACTCACTACTGTAGTAACAGTCTGCTAATCACTACTCCATCGTAATTATATTTTTATTCCCATCTGATAAGAAAGGCAACATTAAAGCACTTTTCATGTTTATTTCTTAAATGAATTTGACACCGAATGCTTTTATTGTTTTCTGCCCTGACAATTTAAGAGAAAAACTCCTGACAAGTATGATTGATTGATTCGTTTTCTACAGATTATCAACCCTTTGTAGGTTATTTAAAGCCAGAGATTGTAATCAATTTTTTTTTTTTTGCGTGGGTGTGGATAATAATGGTTTCGTGATACAAGTCTTACTAATAGCTGGAGGGGATAAGAGGTGGATTCATACCTTTCCTAAGGGTATTTGCGCAAAGTGAATATAACAAACCCAACTGGAATTGGAACTCGGATCTCCGATTAACAATTCCGAATCATTCCACATTACATCACCCGCTCTTCCAAGCTTACAGCATCTAGTATTCCCAAGTGATCACTCATCTAGGTACTGACCAAACTCGATGTTACTTAACTTAGGTGACCGTACGGGAACCAGTGTTTCAGTGT